ATGGCAAAGCAAATGATCAGACTCTTCAACGAATAAGCTGCCAGGAACAAAACAGAGCCAGACAGTAAAAAGATAAACCCAGACGGACTTAAAGGGCACCTCAACCAATTTACTGTATGAATATTACTTAAATCCTGCTTCAGACTATTTTTTGAGAAATTCATGAGACAGCAGGGAAAATGTGAACCCTGACTCGATATTTGTTTGTATGACACAATTGCTATTTTTCTTGTTAAGGGTATTAATGTCATTATGTCTATTTTATTTTTAAATCCTTATCCTAGAGGATCTTTCCAAACTATGTATGGATGAAGTGATGTGATCGCTGAGATTTGCTTCCAAATCCTCTGGAGGTGTGGGAGGAGTGGGTGAGGCAGGGATGAGACAAGCGAGGAGTGGATTGCTGAGCTGGGTGCTGATTGCGGAGCGTTTCATGACATTATTATCTCTACTGTGGAGCTTGTTTGATATCTTCCAAAATAAAATTATTTTTAGAATGAGGCACTTTCCCTCATCAGGGTACCTTTCTTCCAGATTATAAATAAGCTGTTTTTGCTTTGGGTAGCAATTTTTCTGTCTAGTCCAGCCACATGAGAACATCCTTGCATATGGCTCAAATATATAGTGAACTTAAACCAAGTAAGAGTAATAAGCAAATTGAATGACAGAGTCAGAATCAACAAATCATTTGGCCAGCTGCCGCTTGAGCTGAATCTGACGAGAACTGTTGAACAAGATTCAGGTAAATCCCTGCACGTGTATTCAAACAGTGGCCACATAGTCAGCAGAGAGAGAGACGGTTCCCCGGGTCTCATCCACAACAGTGCCAACACAGGGTGAGTCAGTGCCAGGAATGGACTGCCAAAATCACCGGTAAGACAGGAAGATGCACAGAGAAAAGCCCTGTGCTCCCCTCTTTCCTGGGCTCGTCAGTCTGGCAGAGAGAGTGGGGATGGGGTCTAAAGACCCAGAGGATTTCTTTGAGAAAGGATCCCGGACAGCAGGGGAGACGGCAAAGCGCGGAGAAACGGAAATGCTCTGGCTGGAGAGCAATCAGATCAAAAGAACAACTGTCCACAAATGGTTGGAGGCTCTCCTGCACAACGGGGCTTGGGCCCACTGGAGATCCCCGTGCAGAGGGGTCTCGGGAGGAGACGAGCCAGTCAGGGGGCGATGTAACAATGATGAGAAATACAACTTTCCTCTAGTTCCTAAATGTTTCCTCCCCGCTCCCACTACCATGACTCGAATTCGATCTTGCAA